CCATCGCCCTTCCCGGGGTGAAGGCCCAGGAGGCCGGCGGGTCCCGGCGGGCGGGCCTACCCCACAGGGGCTGAGGGGGAGGCCCTCCTCGGAGCGGGGCCGTTAAACGGCCTAGCGCCGGCAACTCACCTCCCGCCTCCTCCCGGCGGTTCGCCACCTTGTTGGCCAACACCAGCGGCCGGGTGGGGCGGATGACCGGCGGCCGCTTCTTCAGCCGCCACTGCCCAGAGACCCAGCGGGTGACCCAAGGCGGGTACACGGGTAGGGCGGATGACAGGCGGCCGCTTCTTCTGCCGCCACTGCCCGGAGACCCAGCGGGTGACCCAAGGCGGGTAGACGGGGGCCGCCATTTTCTTTGCGACAGGCCGTAAGGCGAGCGGGGCCCGCCCAGCCGGTCGCTGTGGGTTTTTTGGGGGGATCCACCCTGCGACAGCTCCAGCACTTCGCATCTCAACCCATTTGCGTCTCAACCCCGTTCCCGCAGCAGCCCCAGCCAAGGGAGGGGCGCACGCACCGCAGCCAGAGAGGAAGAAACCCCAATCGTGTCAAAATAACTCAAATGGAACTTAAAGGAATTATTTTAGCAGCTTGTATGGAAGCTTTTCTCGGTGCTCGAAACTCAGCACCACTTCGCTCTCAGCCCTCCACCTCTCTCTGTGACACAGGAGCAGCTGGATCTGCCCTGCCTTGGTGACTGATGCTCCTGGCCTGGTCAGGATGTTCCCACAGCCTCCTACTCAGATCAGAGAGTCCTGTTGTTCCCAGATGTTTCTTTCCTAGTGTAGGATTTAAATCCCTGGAAGTCAGACTGGTTCTGGAGCCCCTGTGTCCCCAGCTGAAAATGACAAGTAATACAGAGAGCACAGTAACCTCTTAAGGGCTGGGGGATAGACACATTTTTGCAGAGTATAAGGGACAAGGTAGACGTAGAGAACGGAGGAGTTGAGACATTTGGACTGGAGACCTAAAATACTCAGATGTTTGTCATATAGTGGTCACTAAGCCAATTTAGCACCATTAGCAGGGCTCCTTCAGCCAACACCTATTTCCCTTGTGCACTGGAGGACATAGAATAATCTGTTTTTCTCCATAGGAATGTTGGAACCATTATAGGACATTAAAAAAAAAGAGCTTTCCACTCACCTCTGCCCAGTCAAGGAAGGTAACAAGACATTGGAAATTTTGCTACCTTGATTTAAATCTCACCAGACCTATACCAGAATATCCTTAGTATCAATACCAGAATTTACTGCATCTTGAGATTTAATATATAGATATAAAATCAGACATAACATATATGTTATGTCTGATTCTATAATTATTTCTGTGTAATTGTTAAAATAGCATTTTCTTAGAGTCCAATTTAAAGACTATGAGAAGACATTTTCAAGTCTTTTCAAAAGATTTCTTTTGATCCTCTTCAGAAGCAAATTTCCATCTCTTTAGATCAAAATTCAAACAGTCTGGTACTTTAAACATTCAAACATTTTGGTAAGAGGGATGTTTCTCTACTTCCATATTTTTCTGACGGGACAGGAAATGAGCTATTGTTCCAGCTTGGCTACCAGTGGAGAAGAGAAACAAGCTGACATCTTCAGACTAGGCTAGAAGGCTTACATCCTGCAACTCTAAACATTAGAAATCTTGCAAATTCAAGACAGGGAGATGAAGTATTTTTCAGTATTTCAGTTCACGTGAGGTTCACCTCGTTTTTGTCTCTTCTAGGTAGCTCTAGTGATAACTGCTTTTCTCTACTGCATTTCCCTGCTGCAATCACCAACTAGACTCGCACAAGAACAATAAAAAAGAAAGCCACAAATACTAGGATATAAGAGAAGAGCTGAACTGCACTCCCTGTAAATCAACCTCCCTTTTTCCAAATTACATTAGTTAATGGTGGCAGCACCTTCCTGTACAGTCACCTTCAAATGCTGATCTCTCTTTTAAGTGGTTCCAAGAAAAATGGGGGGGAAGCTGAGAAAGAGAAAGGCAAGCTACTCAAGGAGAACTGTAACAGCTTCCTGTCAGTTACTGCTGTCTGCATTAGAATCTCTTTTTTTTTTTTTTTTGGCATTCAGCCTGGGGTTGAAGCATCAGCCTAAGAAATTCCTGAGCAGACAGAATAAGGTGTGTGATGATGTCTGCACACACCATGCAGAGATGTCTGAAGTAAGACACAAACCTTGGTTTTAAGGGAAAATGTGGATCTACAGAAGAGGTGTGTTAATCAACAGCCAAGCGTCTCTATAGCCTGTATCTTGTATAGCACAGAGACACTAATGGATGGAACAGAAGTTCCAATTTTATATTTAGACAATCAGAAACCCAATTCCCTCAACACGCTGACAAGTGAACACCAAAGATGTTTCCCTGTGAATCCTAAATCCTACAACTATAAAGAACATGTAAAAGTCTAACTGCATTTACAACTGCTTTACTTAGATCAACACCGTTAAAGCCAAATCCTAGCCTGTGTTTCAGCTAGTCAAAACCAAAATGAGCCACAGAGATTAAGCCATTATTATTAGATTTGAAAAGAATTCAAGTTTTTGAACTGCTTGGATCCAGCTTTCAGGTAAATACCAGTATATTCACCCAAGTTTAACCTGAATGCCCCAGTACATGTCCCGTACAACTTCGTAATACCTTCACCCACCACAGTTTATTCTCCTCCATCTCACCTTGCCCTCCTTAAACTCCCAACTGGAGATGCCTTAAAAGTTAAGGCATCCCCACTTTAACTTAGTAGTGGAACTAACCAGTTTGCTAAGATTCCAGGCAGTTCAGACTTACTCCTGTCTGCTGAGCTATTGTGTTTGGACAGTATTAGGGCTTAATGCACATATTAGGACAAATGCATCTGTCACTGTGCGAATTAATGTAATTTCTTTTCTGACGTGTCACTCCCTGCCCCAACTCCACCACCACCCTACCTTATCCTGAACCATCTCAATCAGATCAGCCACCCTGCATTATTCTGTCCACCTAACTAGTTCTGAGCTGCCATCCCTAATCCCCGACTCCCAGCTCTACTCAAATCCAGCCCATTTCCACTGCAAATTACCTGATGCTTCCTTATTTGCTCAGAGATGCCACAAAGTATCATGATCTGCTCTGATCCAATCCAAGATCCCCAGAACTATCTCTAGTTGAGACCCTTCGGCATAAGATCCATCTTTTCTGCAGGGAGAAAACAGTATAGAAATTAAGATGCCAGTCGTGTCACAGCCCTGGAACAAATCCTGCAGTCCCATTCTTCTCCACCCTTCCTAATTCTTCTGCAGGGCCGTGTATCTCTCACTGCCAGCTCTGAGACACTGAATCATAAGAGAAGTGCAGTTTGTTATATCCTGACACAGGCTTTGGCTCAGCTGGTCATAACACTAAAAGGATTTTGTCTCTGATTAATTTCCACCTGTCAGTAGAGGTCTCTGGGCAGAATGAAGGAACCTGTCACCTTGTATGTTTCTGATTAATACAACTTCTCAGAAGGTGCCTGGAGATCCATCAACAATCTTAATTAAATCCAACCAAATGGATGACAGCTAATCATTAAGGGAGTGGCTCTCCAGGGACAATGGCTGAAGACTGTGTATGAAAGGATGGCAAGGGAGGCAGATGGTGGCTTGTCTAACACTGCAAAGCCCATTTAAACAGCAACGTCCCTTATGGATGTGTTTCAATTCAATTTATCCCATTCCCAGTCCTTTAGGAGTTATTTGTTCTTCCACACCTGTTAAAACTACCCTCTGCCAAGGTGCAAGCAGGGCATTTCTGCTGTGATTCTCCAGCTGCCGCACTTTGTAGACCATTTCCAGGAAAAGAATCTCATATTCTCCTTTCCCTCCAAACATACACATCCATTGTTGCTTGGCTCTCATTCTGCTCACCATCACAGAGGACCCAGAGATCCTTCAATTTGAAAATTATTGCAGTGACGGAAGTAAGAAAAGGCAATTGTTTTTCAGTTCTAGAAATTACCAATGTTAGGTATGAAATCAATATTCTACACAGGTTATTTTCTTCCTAGAAATTGCAGTCCTTGCTAAAGGACAGAAAACACAGATTACTAGTTCACTATATAAAATTTCCAGCTTCTTACAGAAAAAACAGGCAGCAACCCAATTCATTGCTAGATTTTTAACCTGTCAGATATTTGTTTCTCCTCTCTCACCTCTCAGAGGGCATAAACCTATGCTAGCTTGTCAAGTCAATTCTGAGACATGGCATCAATAGCATCTACTGGTGTTTCATCTGAGCAGTAATGAGGAGGTATCTATTTTTAGAACATTAATGCCAGTGAATAAAGCTATCCTGACAGCTTTGAAATCCTCCCTCCAGTCACACAGTAAACAGGCAAAATGCATGACAAGCAGTGAAGTGACTCACCCGAATTAGCAGAAGCCTACCCAAAGGGTTTACAGAGGTAATCTCTTCATCATCCTCAATATTTGATATCTTTGCTAAAATTCCTGATTAGTCAGTGTCGTTCTTATGAGTACAGGCACCTGAACTGGAAGAACTTGATTAAGAAAGATGTTGCATACACTGTTCAGTCTGAAGATCATATAAGCCATCCAGTGGTCACAATAGGAGTGATGACATTCAGCCACCATCTACCTGGTTTGGATTTAAAGTAGTGAAGCGAGAAATCCAGTTAGCATTCAAGAACTGAAATCAGAAACCTTTTTCCAAAATATTAATAGTTGCTGCAGTGACCTCCTAGCTTGTCTGCATTCACACACTTGCATTAGTAGAAGGACAACTACGATCATAAATTGAATTAACTTTGGCTAACACTAGCAGTAGTCTTTGGACATCATATAGCAATGCTTTCAAATGCATTATTAAGTAAATTAATCGCAAACTCTTCAAGGGTATGAGACCCAGCTTCTCCTCCTGCCTCCTCCAAATAACAGGAGAGAGAGGAAAGCAAAGCCCTGATGGTAGAACCACCTTTATTTAACATTTTGCAGTCCTTGCTGTGCAGAGAAGTGGATGTTGTGAAGGTCAGTCAGCAGCCTGGAACGGAACCACAACCACAACTCTTTAGCCAGCCAGGGAGGGTTCCCGCCTCTCCCACCCCTGAGGAGCTTGCCTGGCAGCTATAAAAGTTACTCATACTATGCACTGGAAGAAATATTCAGCCTTAATTCTTATGCACCACATAGAGTAATTGAAACACATTTAGTATATTAATATAGGCAATAGACGCACCGTTTATAAATCATGGACATACTGGGAGATACAGGAGATGATAAATTTAGTATGATCTATTACTACAAAAAAACCTCTGTGGATACAAGAGAAACAAGGCTTGGGTGAGCATCACAGCTGTGAAGAGTAATAGCTGATACTCATTACCTTTTGAGGAGTTCACGACCTGTAAGACTCTCAAAAATAAGTTAAACCGAGGAAGACACTAAGAACTTGGAAGAGAAAGCTATAGAAAATGGCTCATGACTTGTAACTATAAACTAAAAGTTGTACTTTGAAAAACTCAGACAAAACCCACAGAATATCTGTGATAAAGTTACTTTCATATCTGTGCTACCTTCATACCCGTGTTAAGAAGGGATATGGCAATCAGAAATTGATACTCATGCTTGGCAAGTCATGAAGCTCAAAGCAACAGCTTTCTGTAGTACATACATATAGCAAAAAACAATCCCAAACCAAACCCCCAAAACCCCCCGTAGGAATAACAAGAAAAAGCAGGTGCTATGATGCAGAATGTACTAGTACCTACTTCTTATTTTTATCATTTGGTACAAAAAGCAAGACTGGAATTTCTCCTCCTGGCTATCCCACCAAACGCTTGAGTAAGAAAGGGTTTTGAGATATAGCTAATTAAGAGAACCATGCAATCAAAGAAGACTGAATGATTTTCTATACAGGAACATGAAGAGAATCTGAATTAACTGAAGGCATTAATTCAAACAATTTATTTAAATATCATTAAACTGTTCAGTAGAAGTTGATATTCAGACATAAAGCAGGCTTAATTTGTTTTATCTTAATTTATTTCTCAAGCACATTGTGGCCACTTCAATCCTGAATACACACATCAGTCATCTTAATCTGATTTGAGTAATCCACTTTAACAATTAATTCAGATATATTCACTTCGATATTCATGTCTCCTGAGTAACCGGAAAAAAGGAAAGTAAACAGATGAGTACACTTTAGCTGAAGAATGATTTGTTGCTATTAGTACAGAAGAGATATTAAAAAGCAGTTTTCTCCTAAAAAAAAAAATCAAATGGAGAAATAAAATCCCATTATACCATTAAAGACATCACTGCAGTGTGGCCATATTTACCTGTGCTTTTAAACCCCTCACACGAAGTGAATTGGTCTCCCTCCAATGCAAGATTGATCATTTCAGAAAGGTATCAAACATGGCAGGGAACAGCAGACTTTATTTCTATCTGTTAGAGATATAAATGAGGAAGATCTATCCACGTGTCATCACTTACTTCTAGGAACTCCAGTCCAGACCGGGATCATAGCGTGTTAAGACTCAGTAGAGATACAAACCTGTTTCAGTGCACCCGATTCCAATCATCCACTTCAGCACAGAAAGGCTGCCAGAGACCACAGAGACCACTGGGAAAGGCACCATCACTAAAATTTATTTCTCTTTGCAGAAAGCTGCAGATACCCAAAAAGAACTAAATCGAAGGCCTCTGAATTGCTGGCATTAGAGAAGTCAAGATTATAGCTGGGATTTCAGATTTGATGGAAACTTAAAAGAACCAAAGCATACTAATTTTACTCTAGTTCTGCACAATACCAGGTAATATACTTTCTGGTGTGAAACACTTCGTTGAAAGCTGTGAATTAAATAATTTAGTCTCTCATCCCATTGTATGTATCACCTGGAAAGTTAGCAAGTGAGGCAAATTAGGCAGAGAGGAAGTGACCTGCCCAAAACTATTCAGTTACCCTGAAAAGTAGAATTGAGGCACAGTTACATAGTAAGAAGAGACTTTATTACTGCAATTTCATAAGGCACAATTGCTCTCCACAGACATTTGTCTTTTGTGACTCCTTCACTGGAAAAGCTATTCATTAATAGCAGCTCAAAGTACACCTTCATGAGGACAATAAGTGACAGATAAAATACATATAAAAACGATTACTATTTTGGAGATTAAAAAAATCCCTGAAATAACTTAGGGCATTTGAGCAAGAGTCTGAAGAGGTGTTCCTCTCAAGTCATGTAAGCCACAAGGAAACTATACCAAATGCAAAAGGATTGTAAATTCCTCTTTTGCCCCACATGTTGACACCTGCAAGTCAGGAGTGGCTTCACACCACAGAGCTGAAATTCAAATCAAAGCAGCTGCTAAGATCTCCACTGCTGAAATCCAATCATAACAGAAACTTACTCACTTCATGCACCAGAAGAAACAGTCTCTGTGAGAGTTTTACTTCTATTCCAAGGCAAACATTTGGAGCAAGTTGAGAATTCGCAGTCTCAACTTTCAAATCAAGCTCTTACAAACATGGGTCAGTGTTGCCTCGTCCTCTTGAGAAAAATCTCGTGCATATAGTCCCAAAATCTTCCCTGATGTGACTCATTGCGATGAATCATAGCAGTGAGGGCCTCACCCTGATCAAGGCTTTGCCAATAATCCTGCAGCCACATCTCTTTCCAACTGAAACAAACAAAAAGAAAAAGAGACGCCACTATTAACCATTTAAAAAAAACAAATGAGTCTGCAGCTGTAATAGCACCGAAGCCAATTTTTTCTTTCACACAAGAGGAAAACAGGCCTCGGGATGGTCATGACAAAGTACATTGTTACTGTGCCATTGTGCTCTAAGACATTTAAAGAAAGTTACTATGAAAATTCTCTACAGAAAATACAAGTTCAGCATTAGCTTTACAACATTCTAGAAATATCAGCATGGGACCATAGTGTTAACCAAAAAAACTAAATTATTAAGTGTAGAGAAGAAACACTTCTGTTAAAACAAAATCTAGCACGGAGTCCCTACATGATTTTGGGAGTAGCCTTCCATGTCCAGTATGTGTATAACAGCCTAAGAATCAATTTTTTTTCCCCAGATGAACCATTTAACAATTAGAGAATGACAGCTACTCATTACAAACTCAGGTCATACATGGCAGAGACAAAAAAATCATTATATCCCTCAACCCTGACTCAATTCTTTATCTCCAGACTACGTGGTCGAGCAGACACTTCCTCTTTTTCAATGCAAACAGTCTCGAAGCTTTCATAGCACAGACTACATCACTGCAACTTCCAGCAATTCCTTTCCCATTCACGATCACGTGGACTTCTCTCGTATCTGTTATATCAAGGTAAGGCAATAATTTATTTATCTCTTCTCTGTTCTATCTGTTACCCAGCCACATAAGCCCATCGCAAATTTTGGAAAGAAGGACCAAACGTGATGCCCTTTTTCACCTGTCCATATGAGCTACCCAATCCTTGTTAACTTACATACAGAGCTTCCAGCTTCTCCCTCCTAATCACTAAAATAAGTACAGTGCTTTCTGCATTCACTCTGCACACCATGTGTTAAAGGAAGCATAGCTGCACTGCCCAGAAGCAGATCTCGCCCATGATTCCAGGAAGACCAAAAGAAACTCACAACATGTCATAGCCATTGTCTTTGTAGAGCACCATACAACTTGTATGTTACAGGAATTAGTTTTCTGTGGTCAACAGCATCATTTATGGTGGGACATTTCTGGAGCATACAACAGAGACCTCAAAATAAACCTTTTAACATAGATTACAATGTGAAGGATCACAGACAGAGGCTTACTTCTGCATTAAAAATAAATGTCTGCCAAAAGGTTCCTTTGTAAAATGCAGTACTTGGATGTACTGTGAGATCACTCTGCTTTCCAGCTAAATTAATTAATCTTTCTTCAAGGACTGCCAACATGAATTATTTGTTTCTTTACAGCACTTGAATAAGGGCACACGTTCGGAAAATGAGTATACTTGCATTAAGTACTAGACACAAGGCTAAGTGGCAGTAGGTAACAGAAAAAAGAAAATGTTTTCCAGCTGAACTCTATGGAAACAACCCTGAAAGGAATTCCAGGATTGTCGTATTATAGTTGTCCTCTCAAACACCCCACTCCTTATCAATGAGACAAATTAAACATTTCTCTTCACAAAGGTGAGAGTCCAAGTGTAATTGGAGATTCTGGTTCCAACTAAACAGATATTCTACTCATCACTAGCATTGTAACTCACCATTTTCTGTGCAAAGCAGCCAAGAATTCAACAGATCATAGTGACTGACCCATAACCTAACAGATACAAATGGTTGTTCTACAGTCTTTCTTCTGAAGTTCACTTGGGTGTGAAGCCCAGAAGTCCAAACACAACTGAGGCTGCAAGCATTAATAATTTAGGAACTGCCACACCTCCACACTTGGAGCTAAAGGACAGCAAGGTGAAGGTATGAAGCACCCCAGCTACATGTACCTACATACAGAAAGATTCTGATTCAACAGTTCTGTTAATTCAGCACATTTGTTAACCCTAAAAAAAAAAAATTACATCTGGGAATAAGGGTTACAGAGTGTGCAGATGTGCAGGGTAACCGTATTGTAATTGGGTACTTGCTCCAATTGTCTTTATTGTTCTCTGAGTTCCAGAAGCCTCCAGAACCCAAAATCACAGTACCACCTGTAACCCCGCTAGGCCTGCACCACTTTTCCACAATGTCTTCTAAAGTAACAAAATACACAATTGACTGGCCCAGTAGAAAGCCATCTGAACTGATCATGTTGTTGCCATAATACTACTGTCAAACTCTGCCAAAACACGAGCATGTTTTGCCAACACCTCGGTGGCGATTTTATGCTACTGTCACACCATTCACACTTCTATGTAATCATGTTCCATTTTGGAGATAAAAGTGGTGAAAGCTCAGATGCTCACAAGATAGAAACCACTGTATTTCACTCAACATCCACTTGATGGTTCCTCAGAAGGTATAGACAGATATCCTTCTAAAGTAACTAGCAGACAATGCAGAAGCTTCCCCAGTACAGTATTTCCAGACACGTCTCATGTCTGTAAACATGGGGAGAATAACACATTATGGTTCGATGAGACATGGAAACTGCCACGAGATGCAACTGTGGCTTGGATTATGGACCAACTGTTCAAAACTCCTTGCTCATGATCACCACCTAGAACTTGTGAGTACCCCAGCTCGCAGTCAGTGCCGTGGGTACCCATGCTATGCCCTCAGAGATACATCTCTACCGCCATCTGCTGCTCAAGAAAGAAAATCGCTGAAAAAGCTATGAAAATCCATGAAAAAGCAGAAAATTCTCTTATAGAGTAGGATGCTGCAGAGCACACTACAGGGTAAAAAGCCCATTTTGCACCTGAGACCGAGAAAAGGTATTACTATAAAAAAAACCTCCAATAAAGCAACCAACCAACAGAAAAGAAAGGATCATGGGCCCCTTTTAATTACAAGTGTAACTTTTCAGTTAGCCAATATAAAAATTAACTGTACTGTGAAAAATGCTTTTTCATTCTAAACATTGCAAGGTTTGTGAAATAGGCATTTCCTAAAGAGCCTGAATGACATCAGGCTTATTTTCCTTTTATAATTTCATCTGGCCATTTTTGAAAGCATCCAAACATAGGAAGAAGTAGCTCCCCACACTTACAAAATACTTCATACTTTTTTTTGTGGATTGATAACGTAATAAAAACTCTTTCAGAGCTTCATATCCACATGGAACTGAGATCTGGGTTACAGTACTTGAAATGATGGATTCTATGTTTTCAACATACTGTTTCTTTTAACACTTCAACACTCTTAAGCCTTCAATTCCTTAGTGTACAGCTTTGTTAATAATTTCCTAAACTCATATAAACTGGGATAGAGTATATTGAACAAATTCCTTCTGGACAGCACATGAGATCTTCCCAGTATTTTCAAGAAGTAATTAATTTAATACTACAGGGGGACTGACATCAGAACATTTTGATCTTTGGGGACACGACAGCATAGGCAAGATCTGCTATGGCTGAGGGTTCATCTTTATGATAGCTTATCACAAATGAATTGCATACATTTGGGTAATTGCCTAAAAAAGACAAATAGTTGCAGGCAATGCAAAGAAAAATTACAAAGCTGGAGGATCCAAACATGTTACACTACTAATATGCACTACAACAAGTGCACACACTGTTTATGAACCACAAGAACCCTTCCTTCCAGCAACTGCAACTTCAAACACCATCAACAGAAAAACTCAAAGTTTGGGTCCCCAAGCACTGACTTGTTTTGTACCAACACAAGCATAAATACTAAGGACTAAGTTTTGCAAACAAAACTCTATTCTGCCTGTCAAAAGTGGTTGCCTGAGGGCTGGTGTGGTTAGTTCCCTGCTGACAGACTTCAGGACAGCTCACACTAGAGGTGGCTGATTTTGTCACACCAAACAACAAAAAGCCTTGTAGAGTATTCTGGGTGAACTTAACTTCTGCTCTGAAGTCAACATGAGTTAACCAGGCCTGACCTGAACAGTGGCAACCCCATTCTTAACAGAATACTTCTTAATGAGGTACAGAGCTTCCTTCACTCAAGGGCTTTACCATCACTGTATTGAAAAATATCCCTCCTGCAAACAAGCAAAGAGGCTACGATAGACAAAGGATAACCACATTGCCCAAGGTCACAGAGCATTTTAACAGAATATTATTGATGTTTCATGTTCCTCATTCAACCACTAACCCATATCACTGTCCAAGCATCTTTTTCAGCCTCAGCATTGCACAATATTAGTAGAACTACCATACAAGATAATATAAAGTGTAACTGGAGATTTATTAAGAGATCCTTTAATTACAAAGCATCATTAAAAGTTACAGACACTTCTTTTTTTCTTTTTTCCTTCAAAAAGCACAGTATTAGTACATTACCTGTCTCCTCCAGAGAGGTCTTCAACACTTCCAAACCCAGGAGTTGGCATAGGACATCCCATGTGCTTAAACTGAGCTATGCGAGGTCTGGGAGCCGGAGTTTTGCCACGGGACTTTTTGTGTTCCTGCTCCTCTTTGACACGGGTGTTCTCCCTGTCACAGATGAAACACTCGAAGCCATTCAGGTAATTGGGCAGAGTCATGTCATTCACACCCCACTCCCGCCTCTCCAAGCTCTCCAGCAAGAACTGGTTTTTGATTCCACCAAGGTTTTTATACTCTAGATACTTCATATATTCCTCTCCATTCTTGTCCAGGAAATCAAGGTACTTTGCCAGCTCTTGGGGGCTGTCAAAGTCATCTATAAGAATGATGGAGAGGTTGTTTGGCATCCAGTCCCGCACAGCTGGGGAGCCTCGGTATACTGGGACAGCACCCAAGTGCATTGGACGCCACAGCTTCTCAGTCATGTAGTCATCACATATGGCATTCTCCAGGGCCAGATGAAACTTGTACCTGGCGATGAAAGTCATAAATTCAGAATCCTCTGTAGTGGCTGTAGAAGTGTCTTTCAGTCGCTCACTGGGAAGCTCACGGTTATGCAGGCATTTCCCGTAGGAGTCAACCTAAAACAACAACCGGCATCTTTACAAAGTGATTTGTTTGCCTGGGGCTTGTTTTCAGAGCTTGCAGTGCCTGTAAAATTCCTAACTTTGACCACTGTCTAGCTATCTTCACTTTCAGTACAAGTTCTTTCCCTTGCAACTATTCCTACAGTCACAATTTTAACAGCTTCAGAGGAAACTGAGCACTCAGCTTCCAAAGCAGCATAAACCATGCTAAAGATCGAGAGGTGGGGGATGCGTGCAGAATGGAAGACATCACCCAAAATATATTTATTACAGGATAAATCAGAAACCAAGAGGTAAAGACAGGCATTCAACTCTCCCTGTGTTAATTTAAAAGCCATCTTTCTACTTATCAGAGACCCAGTACTTTTCCAAACAGTTATTACACACAGTTTCTGCCAGTCTCAGCAGGCTGGCAAAAACTTTCCATTTGTTAGACTGAGAAACATGGATGCAGGGAGCTAAAAGAACACTGTTTAAAAATGAAAGGCAATACACTTGATCTGGAATCTGCTTCATACTTTGCCAATATACAGTCATATTTTAAAAAAATGTTTTATCTTTGCTCCACTGCTGAGTACATGATGAACCTGCACAATAAATGAATCACTACCAACAGAAACTGCAGAAACACCTAGGAAAAAGATGCTTCAGATAAAGACTAAAAAACATATTTTTTTCCTTATCTACTATCTTTTAGAATTTTTTAGAAAAAAACCAAACCTGGTAAATCTTTTTTCTGCTTGAAAGAAACTACATTATTTCAGCCTTTGAAAGTACTCTCCATCAGCTGTGCCCCAGCAGTACAAACCTCCATAGAAGTAAGACGGTCCCACCACGATGGAGAGAAGGAGCAGATTCTCAAAAAACACAGCATCCTTTTTATGGGATGCTTACACTTTCAAACGGGGGCAAGGCTTGTAAACGGACAGCCTTACTGCACACTAGCTTGAAGGCCCAGAGATTTCAGCAACTTCTAGCCCTTGGGACACAAGAATAAGCTTATTCAGGCTTAACCCAACTTGTGACCCGTCCCGAGTGTGGCCAACTCCACGGCTAAGGGCTACCTACCATCAGGCCTCCCTACTGGCATGTGGTGCAGTCTGTCTAGACCACGCTTTAGGAAGGAATACAACTATATTTTTTTCCGTCCAGCTGGCAGTCGGCACGCATCCCGTTATGACTCGCCTCTTGGCTAAAAACAAGGACAAACACACCCCATTAAAAAGAGGAGCTGGAAGGGGGTGGTCGGGCAGTCCCAGCTCCTCCAGCAACCCGCTCGCCACCACCCACCTGGATGTATTTCATGAGCTCCCGCACGTAGCGGTCCCTGTCCGAGGGGACATCGCAGTGGGACTGCATGTAGAGCACCGGGCCGTAGCCCTTCCGCCGCCACTCCTCCTTCTCGGCCAGGGGCACCGCCGGGCCCCGCAGGTAGCCCACGCCGGGCAACCACTGCAGCGTGAGGGGGTAGTCGGACTCCCGGCGGAAGGTGGCCGTGTAGTTGAAGAGCTGGATGCCGGGCGGGTGGGAGAGCAGGTAGTTGTTCATGGGGGACTCCTCGTGGAAGAGGGCCCAGGTCTGATGGGGCAGGCGGGGCAGCGGCGCCTCGTAGGCCCTGAAGTCGGTGCCGTAGAAGATGAGGGCCTTGGTGCGGCGGTACCGGGCCACCCGCCGGCTCCGGGTGACCAAGCAAGAGCCCCGCGGGCAGTCGATCCGCTCCGTGTCGCCGGGGAAGTGAGGGAAGAGGCTGCCGCTCCACCACAGCAGGATGGGCAGCGCCTTGTTGCTCCGCGTATCGTTGTTGCCCGGCCCGCGGTACGAGGCGGCGGCGGCGACGAAGGCCGCGCCCGGCGGGACGGCATCCTGCGACCACCCCTCCGCCCCGCACGGCTCCGCCAGCCCGGCCGCCGCCGCCGCCTCCTCCTCCTCCTCCTCCGCCGCCCCCAGCCCCTCGGCGGCCAGCGCGGCCCCCGCACCCCAGGCCAGCGCCAGCGTCAGCCAGAGGGTAAGGGGCCCCCGCCGCCCGGCGCCGCCACCCATGCCCGCCACCCTGGGCCGGCTCCGGCCCGTCCCGCCCCGCCCCGGGAAGCGGCCGCGAGGGCCCCGCCCTCAGGGGGCGTTCCGTTACGGGGCGCGCGCCCAACGGCCGCAACGGCCGCCGAGGAGGGCTGAGGGGAGCCCGGCACCGCCCCTCCCCTCACACTGTCCCCTCAGCCGCTGCCGCCACAGAAGGTGAAGGGAGGGAAGAGAAAACGCCTTTTAGTGACAGAACTTTGGGGTTGTTTTCTCTTGTTTAAAGATCCCTCAACGTCGCTCTTCTGTAGCGGCCTTCGGTGTTAAAAATACTCTGTAAAATAATCCTGCAAAGCCGAGGTTTGGACCTCACTATAGAAACCCCACAGTGTTCTAGAATCACCACCCAGTTACAGAATTTGCCACAAGCTTCCAATTCATTCCTTAAAAAATAACTTAATCCCCATCTGATAATTCATCATACAGGACGTTAGACAGAATGCCAACATCCCATTTCCAGAGGCCTGGGAAGGGGTGCTGCCACTAAAATGCCCACAAGCACAATTTACTCCACACAAATAACAAACAAGATGCACAAGGCCCATTGTTATCACAATATATCCATGGGTAGCAGATTCTGGACGTAACGTACATTCTGCAGGAGAGTAATCTCAAAAATATTCTACAGCAAACTAAGTATCATTGGATATTTAGCAATGATTGTCTTGTGCTTTCATACAGAGCGTAATAACGTACAACATCAATGTTCTAGACTACAGTCGTTACACTGCCAGTTCACTCCAAACATTATTTTTGCAATTAGCACACTCCTCCCTCCCTCTCCCCCCAAAAAACCCTCTCCACCCCAATGCCCTGCTATCTTAACACTGAAATAGGAGCTCTATTTCTCTGAAAAAATTAAGACTTCTAGTCTTTAAGTTAACATTGCCACAAGGTAAGGGTAAAACTTTCCAAACCCCAATCAGTCAGGCTGTGTTGGACAAGTGAAAAGGGGAAATCTCTTTGCAAAACAGAAGTTCAGAAGAGGCAGAAAGTTAAAAACCAATCATCTAAGCAAAGTAACACTGATCTGACTAAATGGCACCTTTCGTCTGTTGACTTGTTGAATTTCTTATCATCACTCACTGTGAATAAGAAAAAAAAGACTGAACTTGGTCAGCAGAAGATTGTAAAGGATCAGTCAGCTGGACCTCAGCCCTTCCCATTTCCTCCCTCCCGCAAAATACAGGGTTTGGAAAAATAAGCAGTGTTTATTTACTAACAATGACATAAAATACATCTTAATATATTTTTATTTCTTTACAAATTAAAAGATGCATTGGAAAAAACAGGTGAAGAAAATGAAAGGTTCATTTATGATTTCATTTCCATCCCCCACTCCCCCCCCCAGTATTAATACTAGAAATTAGTATTTGCGGAAGTCTGTGGTTGCTGCGCCTTATATTCCCAGGAAGTTGTTTTTCCTCTCTGGTTAAAAATCCTCTGGATTTTTTGGTTGGAGGCAGTACACGGAGTAAAAAGTCAGCCACATTCATACAAAAACGCTGAAGGTTCTGTCAACTACATCTTGAAAGAGTTTCTCCATTGCAATTTTCATATTCCCCTTTCCGTGTAGTGATGGGAGGGAAGACAAACTAGCAGCATTAGAAGAAAAAAAAAAATGGATTTATATACATGCTACAGGATACGGAACTAAAACCACAGCCAGATATTTTTCTGATCTTAACAAGGACTTTCCTCTGAAATATCAAGCCCAGATAATATGTTCTCTAATCCACCCACATTCTTCCTTCCACTTTTAGTGCTATTGGTAGCACTGCTCCAGGGTGTTGTAAGAACACTCGTTACATGTTCAAGCTAAAATACACGAGTCCCCTTTCAAAAGTGAATAAACGAAGCCCTTAGAATTCTGAATTTGATTTACACTCGCTCCCCTCTTTGCAGGAGTCTTCTCACCCACCCGTGCAGAATGGAGCAGCAGAGTGGCCAAAGTGGATGGATTAATCTGTCTGAGGTATTTCAGTTTAACAAACAGGCTTATAAAAAGGTTTTGTGCAAGCTGATCAGTAGGTAGAATGGGGGAGGGTATAAACATCCAGTAAAGAAACTCTTCACAGCCCAGATGCTTTCAATAACCGAAATCAGGTACTTGCAGTACCTACTACAGTACAGTCTAGATCTTAAGTCTTTGTATCCCCTTGTATTCCAGGGTACAAAGCAGTTTCCAATTTACATCAGTATAACTCAAATTCCTGCTTGTTTGCTATAATTCACAATAATATGGTTGAAAATGGCCATTCCTTATCATCCAGTTCCTACACAGCCCCACACCACCTTGTTAAAAGTATTTTCTGCTTAAGGTTAAGAGGCTTTTGTTCCTACCACCATCTGGAGAGATAGGTAAGCTCTGCAGGAGAGGCCACGGAACGTGGATCGAGCAGGACATGACGGAGCCGTGCAATGAGAAGGAAAGGAGTCACCACACACACCAACAGGAAGCACTGTCTCTAGCTGTTGACTGTTGCTCACTGAACTACTACTTATCCCATTCCAGATCTGCACAGCAACTTATAGTACAGGAAAGATTGGGGAAAGAAATTTGCCCTGCTGCCTCCTGGCTCACCACTCATTTCCTTTTTCATGGATTTCTGGTTCCGACAGCCACATGATACATCTGTGCTCTGCAAGGTCATGTCTCCCTCTCGAGAGAAGGAGACACGAGATGTCTGGCTGCTCCAGCTCCCATCACCTGACCTGCCTCTCGGCCTCCCCGCCTGCGCATCCTCTTCACGCTGGGAGCATGCACACGCGCCCGTACAAACACACAGCAACTACCAGAAGTTTTGAAGAGTTACCGCTTTTTCACCCAATGTTGAATCATGTACAGTGAACTGAAAAAAAAAAAAAAAACCTACATTCATTACGACAGGATTAGCGAGCATGGGGTGGGGGGGGTGAACTCCTGCCAAGCACAGGAAACAATTTAGATACAAGTAAAAGACCTGGTATCAAAGGCCTTTTTTTTGTTTGTTTTTTTTTTTTAGCCCTCACCAGGAAAATTTTTCATCTCTCATACGGGACTGGGAGAAGTTGAAAGGATTTCTGCTTATGCAATGTGTATTAAAAATTATGGAATTGTACAGATTTCTATGTTGTCCTTTTTTTGAGGGCGCTGGGCCTTCTGATCAGGTCATTAGTGGAGGCTGAAATGTCACTGCTGAGTTCCAGCACCACTCCCTCCTCTAGCTCAGTAGCTGCCGAATCTCCTTGTGCATGTGACACAGGAAGTCCACGTATGAAGCCCCCCCACTCAGGCTCTTGTCCTCCACTAGAAAGTGTTTGAACAGCATTTCCAGCTTATCTTCTTGCTTCACAATTATTAACTGCAAAAAACAAAACAAGAAGAAAACCCAAGAGTGAGTAGTTAGCAGAATTAATGTTCTTGGTAAAAAGACTAAAGATCTAAGTAGCTCAAAAATCCAAAGACAGATAACCGGAATCACAGCATATATGGTTTACGTGCTTTCACTTCTGTAACTAAACTGGGCTAAGTCCCAGTTATTTCTAAACAGAAGGAAAATACCATGTACATGGTTTGTGCAGTACTGTATTATAACAGGTCTGAAAAAATTTAGTTTTAGAACTACGGTAAGCACAGAACTCCAAAACTAATAACAAAATTTTTTTTTGGATCCTTGAAAACTTTTGTTTTAATCGCACTTATGAGATCAGGAAGAGTAAGTTCAGCACTGCAGCATTACTGGGCATCACCTGCTCTGCTAGAAAGGAAGGAGATTTAAAGCTACGAATGGGGGACAACGTTTTTACCTTCATGTAGCGGGATCTCTGCGCTTGAATCGTGTCAATAATAGATCGTACTTTCTTTGAAAAGGGGTTTTCCAAGACAGGCAGGGTACTCTGGAATGAAAGATATCCAATCCCCATTAGTCACGTGAAGTAAAGCAACATGAAATAAAACTCAGCAGTTTTGTCACATCACATAAAGGTAGAGATGTATCTGCTGCCACTAACATACAACCTCTTTGATCTCAACTGGTTACAAGAGAATATAACACGATATCAGAATTAAAGATCAATTATTTGCTCCATGTACATATCAACTGTTCTTCGCACAACCAGTGGAACTGTGGCTTGGCAAATAAAGCCAGGAAAAAGCATGGCTGACACGCCCAGACCAGGCACATCTCCACTAGTTCCACATACCTGTGCTTCTCTTCTTCCTAGTATGAAAAATTTAACACTATTTTCTCAACTCGCTTTCTCATTGTTTTAAGTTTTGGGTGACTCTCCCAGACACTAGCTCCCCGCACTGCCACCCAGCTCACCAAGGCGTTGCTAATCTGGCTGAAGGATGACACTCCAAAGAGGTTCTGGATGAAGCTTTGCTGCACGTTGACTCCCACCCACACAAAGATGTTCAGCCCGTTCTCCAGCAGGTATATGTCACCCCTGGAGAGACGTTCCTCTGAGTTCCGGATCGCTGCTGGCAAGGCGTCGCTGTCAACATCTGCTTTGGTCTGTTTTAGAGTCAAATAAAATCAAGATTATAAAACAAGAATCTCTTCTGAAGTCCTGACAATTTCTCCACTAAGGCTCCAATGGCTTTCTCATTTCTAGGACTCATAACGCTGCAGTATGACTGAAGTATCATCTTCCTCAGCTTAGTTTTCTTACTGAATGTGACACGGGAGCAGATCAGAGCTTGGTTAGAAAATAAAAAGTAAAATAAAATCAAGATTATAAAACAGGAATCTCTTCTGAAGTCCTGACAATTTCTGCCACTAAGGCTCCAATGGCTTTCTCATTTCTAGGACTCATAACGCTGCAGTATGACTGAAGTATCATCTTCCTCAGCTTAGTTTTCTTACTGAATGTGACACGGGAGCAGATCAGAGCTTGGTTAGCAAAAGAGAACACATGGCTGCTGTGAAATTACTCTGCACTTCCAATATTGCCTCCTGGAGTAGGAATGTAATTATTTTTTAGCGTTATTCCAGCAACTATGG